AGACTTGAGGATACTTCAGGTTTCGGACCGAGGGCTTATTAAGGGTTTAGGGTTTAGTTTAGGGTTTGGGGGAGTTCTAAGTAGGGAAGCCAGTGGAGCGAAGCTTAGGTCTAACACCTTTGAGGCTTTGAGGCAGATCCAACCTCCCGCCCCGCCCCCCAACAGCGCGCAGAGGGAGCAGCTGAAGCACATGCTGGACGCGGAGCAACTCGACTGGGCATATTTTTAGGGTTTAGGGTTTAGGGTTTAGGGTTTAGGGTTTAGGGTTTAGGGTTTAGGGTTTAGGGTTTGGGGACCCTGGGGTTGAGGTTATGTGCCAAAGCTTCACCTTGGCGTTCAAGGGTTCGAGGTTGTGCACTTTGTGCACGCGCTAGGCTCTGACAGCTGCTTCTTGAATGCAGTCAGTAGTACTTATTGCTGGAAACCCCTGACACCCTTAACACGAAACCCTGTGCATTCAAGCTCCCGCCATTGTAAGCCTAAGGGTCTTAGGCACTTGACCCCTCAACATCCGAAGCCATGTTTGGGCTGACAAGTTGAGGATTTGGACCTGAAGGGCAAAGCACTTGCTTGTGGTTCCCCAAAGTTCCTTGCAATTCTTCCTGTGGTCGAGAGAATGGCTGGCCGGGTTTCCTGTGTAAGGACTACGTCGTGACTACTTGAAAGCTTTTCAGTGTCTTGCAGAGCGCAGTGGCGCGATTGTCACCGAGTCAGGAAAGAAGTGGACAACCGAATAGATGAGGTGAACAAGCTGGTGGAGGACCGGGTGCACTGAAGTACCCCGACGTACACCGAACCCCGATCTTCACCTTGCCAAACCCTGAAAGCTGGTTCCCTGAATCACAGACCTTCTCGAGGGCCCTGTGAGCTTGGGGTCATCGGGCAACCGAGGACGTCGTTCAACCCTAAGGCCCTACTCAAGCCCTACTCCGAATCCCTTGATCCTGCATCATGTTTCATAGGTCCTATTTAGATTCCTAAACCCTAAACCCTAAACCTTAAACCCTAAACCCTAATCCCTAACAGCCCAGAAGCACCTTGTAAAGCCCACACTGACACCCCACAAAGTTGCCTTGAAGCTCTGAAAACTTTCTGGGGATCCCTAAGGGCACTGCAAAAAGCCCACGCCCAGAACCCTAAACCCTCAAACCCTAAAGCCCTAAAACCCTAAGACCCTAAAACCCTAAAACCCTAAAACCCTAAAACCCTAAAACCCTAAAACCCTAAAACCATAAAACCCTAAAGCCCTAAAGCCCTAAAACCCTAAAACCCTAAACCCCTAAACCCTAAACCCCAGAACCACAGCGAAGCGGTGGAGCACCTTAAGTCCCTCCTCGGTGGCGCTGCGCTGCAGAGCGGCCTCGACTCGCGTTGCACCGCGGACCTGCAAGAAGATAAAGGGTTTAGGGTTTAGGGTTTAGGGTTTGGGGTTTGGGGTTTACGGTTTAGGGTTTAGGGCTTAATGGGGGGGTCGGAATAATTACTACTAATATTCCCCTTACGGTCCCTTTGTAATAATACTAAGATAAAGAGGAGAGTAACATAGGGGGTCGGAATCAGTACGACTAGTATTCCCCTTATGGTTCCTGGGGGTCGGAGTAGTTGCTGCTAAGAATATTCCCCTTATGGTCCCTTTGTAATTTTACGATCAGAACCCCCCAAAACATTTTAATTATTCAGGCCCCTATTTTGGGGAAGGTTTAAGGGTGTAGAGTCCAGATGTTAGGGAGTTGCGGTGGGCCCAGCAGAGACTCGATAGTCAGGACGACGAATTTTGGGCTCAGCATGAGGCTTGGGGATCTTCACGGCTGCGAATGCTCAATAGAAGCTGGCCAAACCAGAATTTCAGATGATTTCCCTCTACCTCAGGGCTCCTCCTGGGCGCTTGGCCGCCGAGAGCCACAAGGCCAGGCTTGGGTTGACCCCGGGTTGCGGTGGGGGGGCGGGGTGTGGGGGGGGGGATCGAAGTCCTCACTGGCTAAGTTGCGACGAGCGTTTTTGGCGACAGGCACCCCGCCTGCCGATGTGGGCATCGCTTCTTGTGACGCAGCCGTGAACGCCGATGCGACATGAGCAAATCTGGAGAGGCATGTAAGCCAGAGTCAGTGTAGTGTGGAAGTATGTTTGTGAAGGAGTTTGCGCTGCACATTGGCATTGTGACAAGTCCGGTGCGCAAGCAAAAGCAGACGCTTACATGCTTCGGTCAGATGGGTCAGAGCCATACCATGGACCCTTGAGAGGAATGCCCCAAACTTCGGTTGAACATCCATAGTTGAGTATAAAATCCTTCTCGCATCCTCACCACATGGTGGCTCCTTGGCCAGCTAATGCGGGCCACGCAAGAGCAACTGGGCAGTGCACCTCGTTGGCCATCTGCTATCATCTTGCAGGCAGAAAAAGACTTGAAGACAGCATGGTTTGTGAATCAATATGACTGGCTGGACCAAGAACCCTAAACTAGAAAACCCTGATCCCTGCCCAGCCAGAGTCCCGCAGTCACCTTCGAAAGTAGTCTCGTCCAAGATAGTGAGAACTGGGCTGTACTGGGTCTGCGATCCGTGTTCCCTTGTTGAGGTGCCCTTCGTAGGGGTCATTTGAGCGAAGACCCTCCCCCGAGCCCGTGCAAATGTGGGTGTTTGGGTGTGTGGGTGTGGGGGTGTGGGGGTGTGGGGGTGTGGGGGTGTGGGGGTGTGGGGGTGTGGGTGCGTTGGGGGTGTGGGTGTGTGGGTTCGAGGTCGACACGATGGACAGTCAGCACGCCGACTGGCAGGTGGGGTGTTGATGCAGCTGATGCATCACTACTCAATGACTGGTCAATGACCATAATTTGCAGCATAATTAATGAGGCCAAGCCAACTTTAAGCCGGCAAAGATGGAGTCGATTACAACTGGCCCCAGGCCTCATGGAACCCGCTTGAAGTTCTGGGCAGTTCTGAATTTTTTTTGTACTGCTTTCATTTCATCTATCAACTTTCTTGCCTAGCGCGAATCGTGACTCGTGCCTTAAATTCGAGTTGACTGGATGCATGCCCCCAATCCTTGTTTGGCGGGAGCATGTTTTGGAGGGAGGTATTGGTGGCTCGGCCGCATATCGCTCTTGCTAATGACGCACGTACCCCACACCCACACGCACATGCACACTCACATCCACCCTTATACTCAGCCACAGCAGACATACACAGAGACAGCCAATAATGGAGAGAGTCAGGAAATCACCCCTGGTCCCAAGCCCCAAACCCTCAAAACCAGAGCAAACCCCCTTGACAGGCGATCCGTCGGAGGGAGGCGGCCTGCATCCAGGAGGTGGGCAAAGAAGGGTATGGGCAGAGAACGTGGATCGGTGTTGTTTATTATTGTTTGTGTCTAGGGTTATGTATCAGTGTAGGGCATCCGGCTTCAAGGTTTTTCTGGAAGGCTTACAGGTTGAGAGCTTCAGGGCTGAGTGGGATGCAGGCTGGATATGCTTGCAGGCCGCGCCAGAAATCGAAGCACGTAAAAAGCAAAACGCATGTGACATGAGTGACATGCGTAGCATGTTGAAGCGCCCTTGTCATCATCCGGAATTCCTGAGTAGCAACTGCAAGCCGTAAAGGCCTCCGCCATGATCACAAGAAGTGGAACTCGTCTACCACTCATTTCAGTACTGCGAAGTGGGGACGACCTTTGGGAGCAGGTGGCGGAATCACAGCGCCAGATAGAGCGATGGCAGAACGAGGCTGGGGTTGCAGGATGGGTCGGTTCTTAGGCTTTCAGTGCATACCACTGTAATGTATCTGCCCCTGGGCAAGCGAGTAAGTTGAGTGGTGGTGGGACACAGGGCCAGCGAGCCAAGTGAGGCAGGACGGGCAAGTGACGCAACGAGGGCAATCGGGGCAAGTGGCGGCCCGCTTGAGTTGTAGAAGGAGCTCTGTCATGTTGGGGGGGGGTGGGGGTTGATTGATGCCGTCCGTACTGGGAACCCTTCCAAAGCCTCTTGATATCCTTGCAAAAAAAAACCGCACCCTGAAATGTTAAATATCCAAAGCTGTGCAGTGCGGTTAAGTGGGTGTCGGAATTTGCCATAGACTTACAAATGAAAAATGCATAATTATCCAGGCCGACGTGAGATTGACAACCCATCTACCCCTGGTAGTCGTGGGATACCTCCGACCCTCCCCCCATCCCCCCATCCCCCCATCCCCCCATCTCCCTATCCCCTAAAACCCTAAAACCCTAAAACCACAAACCCCTAAAACCCCTAAAGCCCCTAAAGCCCTAAACCCCTAGAACCCTAAAACCCTAAACCGCAAACAGAGAAACATAGAAACCCAACAGAGGTGACTCAGCTGCATGCTGCTTTGGCCGCCGAGGCCAGCTAAAACCACTGAAGCTTCAGCCCAGCTTAACACAGCCTTACACCTCTAGGGTTTAGGGTTTAGGGTTTAGGGTTTAGGGTTTGGGGTTTGGGGTTTAGGGTTTAGGGTAACACAGCCTTACACTTGGGATGTTCCCCCTTATACTAACAGCTCCTCGATAATAAGGACGACAATAGGGGGTACTGTAAGCCCTATTCAGGACTGTTAGTAGAAGGGGGAACATCCCAACCATACACCCCAGACGTTGCTGGTGCTTCGGATGGAGCCGATCTTACCACACATGTCCTGACATGAATTCGGTGGTCGTATTTGTGCATAATGTACGTCTTGAGAGCTCATCGAGGGGGTTGGACTAGGATCTCTTATTGTGAATCCGGCTCCTTTGGCTTAAGAGTCTGAACCCAATCAGCTAAAGTTCTGCCGACCAACAACAAGTCGGCTCTGCCGGTCGGGCTCGATGACAGCGATGACGGCAAGCTTCTGCAAGAGAGCTGGGCAAGTTAGAGAAGAGCCTCTACAACTCCTTTTATCAGAAGGGGGTGTAGTCTCACCCACAAGAAGAAGTTTAATTCTCAACTCCTAGTGCGCCCTGGAGATCCTGCGAGTCTGCGTCCACAAACGCAAGCCGGCCTGGATTGGCGCGCCATGGCGGGTCCGGATGATGTCGAGGAGACCGGGGAGACTGGCGAGATCGTGACCGAGCTGCAGCAGCTCATGCTGTTCAGGCCGGACCCGCCCTGGGGCTTAGGGTGTACGAAAATAGGGACCCCTACAAGGATTCCCTGATAATAAGCAGGTACCCCCTAGAATCGGACCAACCTTTATGGGCCTGAATGGCTTGAGGTATTTCGATGCCAGGGGGCTTGCGGGGGCTGTTCCAATCTGTTCCTAAGCAATGGACCTTGTTTTCCAACTCTGACTCTAGCTCTGATTCCAATTCTAACTCTAACTCTAGCTTTAAACCTAACTCGAATTGTAACCCAAACTCTAACTCTAACTGTAACTCTACCTCTAACTCTACAATGTCACACCAACCGGTTGCATCCTCATGGGAAAAGCAGCAGCTCCTATAGCGCCGTATGCAAGTGGTACTCTTGCCGTCACTTGCTGGAACCTGAGAATCTCAGAAGCTGTTGCGGAGAACGATGGTGGGCAGAAGTTTCGCCTTCGTACTCAGCGATGTAGTCATAAAATTCAATGCTTTTGAAAGCTATGGGCCCTCCTGGGCTCTGGGATGGAACACTCCCCAGACACCTTCGTAAGAACGGAGCCTCCAGCTACAGTTCCTAGCAGCTCCACTACCTGACCTGCAGCATCACTCCCAACAACACCCGACACCGACCCCCGAAACCCGAAACCCTAAACCCTAGACCCTAGACCCTAAACCCTAAACCCTAATTTTCGGAAAAGAAGTAAATGCCCGCACCGCAGGCGCTGGTCTCTTTTTCTGCCTCGCCTGATCTCGGAATCTGCAAAACTGAACGCGGCTTACACGCTCATGCGTCAGTGCCCGGGCGGCTGGCAGATCTTACAGTAGTAACCCTCAGGGCAAGGGCTGATGGCAGATGGCTTACGACGGGTGTCTGTACGTTCAAAATCGAAGCACCGCCTTTTCATCTCAAGGCTTCTGCACCGCTTTGGGTCACACTGGGATTGTCGAGTGTTGTCCCCTCAAAAGCTTCGAACTTTCAAACCTGCAGAAGAATCCCAAAAGTGTACATGGGAAGGCATGGTTGAGCATCGGGTGCTTTTTGACGTTGCCGCAACTGTCAATTTGCCTTGCGACTGTTCCTTCCCTGTTGGTTCCTTGGAGGCCCCCCCCCCCAAGCCCTGGTTACTGTTTAGTTGAGGGTGTCGGGTGTAGGGTTTCGGGTGGATAGCATGAGAGGACGGTTATCGACATTGCTCAGACATGAAAACCGTGTCTCCCACATCGCATTCCGGTCAAAGTGCTGAGGCAGCGAAACCCCGCCTTCTTTGACCAGCTTCGTGAGAAGCTGTGCCGAAGCCTGCAAGCTGGAGTTGGGCTTGATTGGAGATTGGGGCATGTCACGGCCGTCTTCAGCAAGTACCAGGAACAAGAAGGCACCGAGCCCCAAACCCAAACCCTGAACCCGAAACTCCTCACAGCCCACTGTTTAGGGGGTTTAGGGGGACTTTGGCGATATTTGGGGGGTTTTGGGGTCCATTGCCCCCTGGCTTGCTTGCTTGAGGCATCAGATCCTGCAAGACTGCGAGGTGCTGGAGGCATCGGGCCAGGCCCCGGCCGGCGCCCTAAAAATTTCGAAAGGTATGGGGGTTTTGCGATCATAAGGGGGGCCCCCTAGTCTCGAACCTCCCAAGTAGGAGGCCTTGCAGTAAGGATTTCGAAGAAGGTACCCCCCTAATGTCGTAAAGTCCCATATTCAGAGAACCCGAATAAGTCGTGCATGATGAGCCCGCCTCGCCCCGTCTCACGTGTGCTTTGGGGAGAACTTTGGGCCCTCCCGGAAGATTCTGTGAAGGGCTTGGGGTGCAGGGCCTTTAAAATCCTGCAACCTAGCGAAAGCCCTCTTTTTCAAAAGCGAATGTGCAGGTGTGCTCTGTCGAGGGTGGCCTCGAGAATGTGCTGCAGGCAGGCCCCCTGCCTAGGCTTGCTTGAGGATACTCAGGTCTCGGTTTAGGGTTTAGGGTTTAGGGTTTAGGGTTTAGGGTTTAGGGTTTAGGGTTTAGGGTTTAGGGTTTAGGGTTTAGGGTTTAGGGTTTAGGGTTTAGGGTTTAGGGTTTAGGGTTTAGGGTTTAGGGTTTAGGGTTTAGGGTTTAGGGTTTAGGGTTTAGGGTTTAGGGTTTAGGGTTTAGGTTTCGGGTGCTCATAAGAAGACATCTTAGGTTCGCAAGCCGCAGAAATTGACCAGCCCAAAAGGCAGGTTTTTCGCATGTTTTTCATTGCCGTGCAAATGCGTGATTAGGTGCGAAGACACCAGCTCAGAGGGTTTCAGCTGTTCCCGATATTGATCTGACAATTCGTTCAGGGACGTCAGGGATGGCGGGCCAAGGAACTTTGAAGCGTGAGCACTTTGTTGCGAAATCGCCCTTTGTCTGCGCGAGTGGCCGCAGACTGCGTGGTCGCCCAGAGGATCTAGGGTTGATAGTTGAGCTACAGCCAAAACTAAGCCAAATCCCGGAAGGCTCCAAGAAACCACAGCCTAATCTGAGCAACCAGGACCTGCCGAACCTGATCTTGATTTAGATACCCCTGAATGCAGCCCGCCAGGTGGTGCTACAGTCCCTTGTCTTTGCAGCCGGCTTCCTGCACAATCGTCAATTTCACAAGGCTGGGTGTAGGGATTCATGTAGTCACAGCGTAGTATATGCAGTCGTCGACGTAATGTATGTCATAAATGTGAGGCGTGATGTAGGTATTGTACTGTGTTGTAGTCTGCCGCGCGTTGTCGTGGTAACTTAAGGGAGCAGTGTGACTTCTTGTAGATTTGGGTGCACGCCAGTGTTCGGGAGCACCGGGTTTCTTGGCGACTGGGAACTGAGCCAATACATATCCGCAACCACTTCAAGTCAAATCATTGGCGTAACTGAGTTCAAGACAGCAGGCTCGCAATGAGTGCTGGACATCACAAAAGCAGCAGCAACAGAATCAAGACTGTTGAGCAGCTCGAGATGAACGAGACGTTGCAAGAGGAAAAGATGGAAAAGGGTGAGTTGTAAGCGTGTAGGCTTTTTCGTCGAGTCAAGCATCATGGCAGGCCATCTTCCTAAGTACCCATAGTACCCTGCAGGCCTAAGTAGGACTTGACGAACGGTTTATGACACTTGCCTAAGAAACGCCATACGGCCAAACATCTCAAAAGCACAGCGTAGATGCCCCGTGATGTGCAAGGCCTTCGCTCTGGGTGAGCTCTGCGTGCAGGTGTCCGACCACGTGGCTGACAGTGCTGCAGACATGAGACTCGCTGGTGCTATTTGAGGAGGTTTGTCATTCAAGTGGCTTCGGACGTGGTGCAACTGTAAAACTGTAAAACTGTAAGCCCTACCGAGGAAGCTTCGTATGAGACACAGTGGAAATTCACTCCAAGGAAATTTACTCCAAGGCCCCCAATAGCAAGTAGCACTCCGCAGCCTCGAGAAAGGACCTTTTGGCGCCTCCTTTGCCGTGCCTTCCTTGGGAGTGCCTATCTCCAGCTGCGCAGGATAAGGGGATGTTTCGGGTTTAGGGTTTCGGGTTCTTGGAGCAGACAGCAACATGGAAATGCCCGCCCTTACCCAGAAACACCGTTGACCATGCAAAGCATTCCTTGCCGGAGTGCTCTTCGTTCTCCAAATCTCCGCGGTCGCGCGTGCTTGGCTTTGTTTGCACGTTGTACTTTCCGAAATTCACATAATCTGTCAACGCCGAGCCACCACCATTCGACGACTTGGAAAAAAACTTGCCATGCTCTAGCTCGCGCGTGCGCTCCTTGCGCCGCACCGCCTCCCTCTCAGCTGGCAGCCAGAACCTAGAAAAGCCAAAGCAGGATTTCCTGTTCAATGCAAAAAGGGAGTAGATGCGATGCTGTGAATCTACAGAACAAAGGAGGATCTTTTGAGAAGTATGGCCGGAGAACAGGATGTGGGATCCAGTTGGCCAGGACAATCAACAAGGGCTGTAAGGGTGTACCGAAAAGGTGAGTCCGATGTGAAACATGATGCTGCGGGGTATTGGGTATTGTCTTCTACAAAAAAACACGAAGGCGCTGAGCCCCCGAGAAAACACCTTGACCGTTGCAGCCTAGAAGGACTGCCGATGCCCGACATGTACTCGAGGAGGCGCAGTGGCTGGGCGAGTCGGTGGAGGCGACTTCGCTCGAGATGGGCTTCAGACTTTGCAGCCCTAAACCCTAAACCCTAAACCCTAAAGCTCAAAGTTCTGAGATTCTGGGGTCATGGAGGTTGCGGGCTTCGGAATGTTGGATCTGCAGCTTCAGGGCTCCTCCTGTCCTTTCCAACACTCATCGAACTGCTACAGACAGCATGTGGCATAGCGGATCTGGCTGCCGGGCTATCTCATCGAACGGCTCGGGTTTCATCCCTAAACCCTAAACCCTAAACCCTAATTCCTAAACCCTAAACCCTAAACCCTAAACCCTAAACCCTGAACCCTGAACCCTGAACCCTGAACCCTGAACCCTGAACCCTAAACCCTAAACCCTAAATGCTTTGCAGGAGACCGCCAGGTCCATGAAGGCGATTCTCGGCGCCTGCAGCTACGCGCTGGCGCAGGCAGACTTGGACGAGAGCTCCATAGATCAGGCACCCGACCATCGACGTGTTCATATGGGGGTTTAGGGTTTAGGGTTTAGGGTTTAGGAAAATCAGGGACCCCTATAATATTAACCCCCAAATAGTACGATCCCCTGACAAAAAGCCCCCCCCGATAAGGTGCCCCGAATTTCGGAAACCCCCCCATAGGTGTTGCCGTTCGTAAGTTCGGGTAATTGCATCATGCCTCAGACAACTCAGCAGGGAGCTGACGACAACCTTTAGTTTTTTCGCCACCGTAGGAATGATTTTGTATGTTTGTTCATATAAAAACCCAAGGGAATGTTAACAGTACTAGTTTTTTTTTGAGGATTCTAAGGGGAGTATAGTAACTAACGAATGACCTGGCAAGCTTCCGTGCTTCTCCGTCTCTGACCAGGGGGTGCCTGAAGGGAGTCTGAGTTGGACATATTTAGTCAGAGAGAAGCCTCAACTGAAGAACTGAAACCCTAAACCAGAAACCCTAAACCCTAAACCCTAAACCCTAAAACCCTAAAACCCTAAAACCCTAAAACCCTAAACCCTAAACCCTAAACCCTAAACCCTAAACCCTAAAACTCTCTTTGCAGTTTCAGACGCAAGAGGCCGGAGAGCACGTCGATGCAGCGATCGCGCAGATGGAGAGCAACTTGTGGGAGGTTTCCCAAAACAAGGAGGACAGCTGACCTCGTGCATATTTCGGCCATTCGCTTCGGGGCTTCGGTCTTAAAAGTGATGCTTTGAGACATGGGCCTCGGGATGTCTTTTGGGGAAGCTCGGGCTCGGGATGCTTTGAGCCCGGATTGTGTGCAGAAACCCTCTTGTGGGTGGCCTGCTTGGGGCCCCCTTAAGGGGTGTTCTTTGACCTCAGAAGGACCAGGAAGTGATCTCCACCATCCTGGCGACCCTGTACCATTTTCGCGGCCATTGCGACTCCGGAGATGTTCAGACTCTCAAGCCCTTCTAGCCCTGGGCCGAAGCCCCTCCAAATCGGTGTAGATAGCGTCGGCTCGCGACTTCGCATTGTTGTTCTGTGCAAAGTTCTTGTTTAGCTCTCAAATAACTCAGGCATTTGGGTTCTCCGGTGGGCTACTCAAAACATGCCGAGCCCAGGCGTTCCGGGAATTGGAGGGCTGGACTCCGCCGAAGCGTAAGCACTCGGCCATCTGAGCCCTAGATTCGCCAAACTCGAAAGCTCTAATCTGCAACCCTCCGGCTATAGATCTCATTGCGGCCCCCAAGCTCCCAGGACCACAGCGTCACGGTTGCGCAATGAGGCGACTAGCATAATATCGCGCTGCACCCTTCACCTCCGTGTGCTTTCTGGCCCCGGGAACGCCCCGAAGACCCTTAGATCCCAGTGAGCCGCAGAGGCAAAAAGCCCTCTAAGCCCATTGAGGCGACTTCCTCTGTGACCGATTCGACTTGGCGCTGTCCTGGTACCATCGTGCTTTGAAAGTTCTAGGACGCTTGGGACGATCGGGGCATTGCTTTTTGAGTTTTGCCTGGCAGGACGTTTCCCCATGCGGGTTGGCAGGTTTAGGCTGCGTCCTATCGGAGGTTGTTTCGCTGTCATCCCCTCAGAATTTACGACCCTGTCGGGTTCTTAGATGACTGGTACGAAGGCGTCGTACCAGGGTTTTGCCGCAGAAGAAATATGCTAGGTTTTGGTCTGCTGTGCCGTGTAGGGCAGGGATGGGGGGGGACCACGTTTTTCGATACCCCAGGACCCCCTCCCTACTTGAGAAATAAATGAGCATGAGCAAGACCACGTAATGAACCATTCAGCTGACTGTTCCTAAGTTCTTTGGCCCCGAATTGTGAACTGTTCCCAGTCGGTAGGGTACACGTGCCTCAGTCCAATGGAGCAAAATGCTAAAGACCCCAGCAGAGAGGAGAGCACCGCGATTTGGGGATCGACACGGATGCTATCGTGGAGCACGTCAAGCATGACATTCAGCGGGCGGTGTGCCTGAAGCCTAAAGAGGCTCCGCACGAAGCATCGAGCTGAGTAGAACCTCCAAGAACCTCCGAGCTAGGACCTGATTCGGTTTAGTGGATTGCAGTTGTAGCTGCTGCGGTGTTCAAAGAACTGATTCTCAGACCCCTCGCAACCTCGAAGTTGCCTCAACAAACCCTCAAGAGCGCTTATAACTTTAGAACTCCGCAACGGCTGACACGTCTTAAGACGGGACTGTCAGCAGTGCAGCTGCGACTGCAAGACAGGCTGCGTGGTCCTTCATGGTGGATAAATGGCAGTGCCCTTTCCCCACAGCGCTACACCTCCCCCCCACATCTATCAACTAGGTGCTGCAAATCCCAGAGCGTGCAGCCAGCACAGCTACAACCTACTTGGAGACAAACATGCCCACGCACAATTACGTGGAGTTGACTTTTGGGTTTAAGGGTTTTGTTAATTTTTCATCTTCGGGAGCCCTCAAGAACTTGAGCGCGCCCACAGCGTCGATTCTTGTCCTCCGACAAAAGTCGAAGGCTGCCTCCTGGCTGTCCAGGAGACTTCTTGGAACAGTGATTTTCGGGCGTGGAGAGAAAGAGCGCAAGAGAGAGAGAGCAAGAGAGTGGGCGAGGAAACTCGGCAATCCAGCGACGAAGAAACAGAACAACGAGCGCACCCGACAGCCTGGCGCCCGCCTCAAGACAACACGAACACCCCCCCCCCCCCCCCCCCCCCGGGCCACGCCGACACAGCACGAGAACCACAACGCTGGGACCCACGCCTCCCCGCCACATTGGCCTGACCACCCATCGGCACATGGAAGCTTTACAGTTTTACCTTATTAGGGGTACCTTATTGGGGACCTTATCATCAGGGAATCCTACTATTTGGAGGGCCATTATTTTTCGGGATCCCTTGTTTTCGTAAAGCCTGACACGGGTTTCGGAGGGATGAAGAGAGCGAGGCCTGAAGGAAGGCCGGGCCAGGAGCGAAAGATCAGCTTCCCGTGGCCCTGAACATCGGCAGCCCACGTTCAGACCTCGACTGGGGCCGCGCGGCCGTCGCGGCCGGGGCCGGGTCGTCCTACGCGAGGGCTCTCAAGAGAGCAGAGGAAGGAATAAGAGGAAGAAGAAGAAGAAGAATAAGAAGAAGAAGAAGAAGAATAAGAAGAAGAAGAAGAAGAAGAAAAAAAGAAGAAGAAGGCGAAGAAGAAGAAGAAGAACAAGAACAAGAACAATAACAAGAACAAGAACAAGAACAAAAACAAGAACAAGAAGAACAAGAAGAAAAAGAGGAAGAAGAAGAAGCATAAGAAGAATAATAAGAAGAACAATGAGGATAATAGAGAGAGAGAGAGAGAGTGGGAGAGTCTAGAGCGAGAAAGTAGGGGGAACACATCGCCCTGGGATTTTCACCGTATGACCTAACCGAGTGGACTGGGCGCGCCCGCGCGCGCGGGGGGGGGGGGGGGGTTCTTCGGGCCCCTCCTGCCCCGTAGAAGAAGAAGAAGAAGAGATGTAGCGTGAATATCTCCGCTGTTGCCCACACTAGCACACTTGAACACGCCGCGCTGGGGAGGAAACCTCAATACGAGGGGAACTACCACGTGTTCACAAGCAGTCTCACCAACTGGATCGCTGGGAGCACGCCTTCTGGGCGGCCTCCTTCGGGGAGTTATGAAGGGAGGAAGAGAGAGAGAGAGAGAGAGAGAGAGAGAGAGAAATCGATAGACAGTGAGAGATAGAAGCAAGAAGGAAAGTCGAGGGCATCCTGGTTTCGGGTAGGTTTAGGGGGTTTAAGAAGGTCATTCCAAGAAGACTCCATGATTGTTTCTGACAGCTAGGGGCTGTGCACCAAGTATCAGCGAGCGCTGTGCGAAAGAAGCGGACCGATCGGACCGGCCTAGCACAGAGCATTAGGAGTCCACCAAAGCCACCAAAGGGAAGTATCAATCTTTTGAACTTCAGCCCCTATCCCGAGAGATTGCGACAGGTCCTTCAAACCAAGACTAAGGTACGCGCGAAAACAGCTTGAAAACATAATGTATCCCAATGTGGTGGGATGACCTCGTTTCCAAATCTGAGCAGCACATAACGGAAGACGAGGGTTCAGGGTCCTTCCAAGATCCAGGAAGCATCAGTGCAGCGTTTGACGCCCCAGCTTCTGCGTGAACAGCTTCCAACTGTTGAGATGTCAAGGATACATGGGCCTAGGTATGTGCGATTTGTTCTTTCAACCCTAAACCTTAAAACCCTAAACCCTAAAGCCTTTGAACAAAGGGGTTCGATGCATGTTCAATGGCAGTCGGAGTTGAAACGAGTTGGGAGAGGATGGAGGGACACAGTTGGCAGTTTTCTGGGCCGAAGCCCTACCATCTTAGGGTTAAGGGTTCAGAGTTTAGGGGATGCCAAAGCCCCCAAACACCAAACCGATTGAAGTGCTGCGTTCAAAGGGCTTAGGGTTTAGGGTTTAGAGTTTAGGTGTAGGGTTTAGGGTTTAGGGCTTAGGGTTTAGGGTTTAGGGTTTAGGGTATATCTTATATCGAGCTGGGGTTTAAAGGTTTTGGGGCTCGCGGGGGGTTTGGGGCCTGGGTGTGTAGGTTTTGAAGCTTTGTTCTTAGTTATTTTGGGTGCTCCAATGAATTCGGCTGTTGATTCAGGAACTTGTCCAGGATTGCGGGCATCTCGAAAGCGAAGAAAAAGGGATAGGACGAGCCTCAAGCATGCTTTGACACCCACATTTCCCCAAATTTCTAGATGACTGGCTACCCAACTGCCCGAAAACTCTCAGGCCTATTTCCACATACGGCTGAAACTTCTAAGGCCTCAGCCAGCGCTGCACAGCAGCACTCAGCGCCCAGCAGGACCAGGCGGGCAATGCCTTGCAAGGAAGGTTCCCAGGGAGTGAGACGGCTTATAGCCGCATATTATAGCCTTGTCGAGATTCATGGAGAGGGCCAGGAATCGGCAGTGTGCTTGAGCAGTCAAGGAGAAACGCAGGAGCACCTACTTTGGCTGGTTCCGCACAGCAAACTACACAAGGGCAAGACAAGAGAAACAAAAGCCGGCGAGCCTGAAAGCCTGACAGGGCAGCTTCGCGGTGTCAGCTCCCAACATCCCGGGCCTTTCCTCCTCGACCCGGGACTTCGACCTGTAGGGGTTTAGAAACTGATGAATTGAGGCAACCGTCACAGTGAAGCTGAGTGGAACTGTGGGACCGCAACCCTTCAGACATCCCTCTGCAGAGTCCATCGGGCTTAAGAATCCCTTGCGTAATGGTTCTCCAGGCCCTGAAAGCCTCAAAAGACCTTGCCCCCCCTCTTCCTCAGTTACCCCGCTCTGACCCCCCCCTGACCCCCTCCTGCCCCCCCCCCCTTTGACCCCCCGACCCCACTCTAACCCCCCTCTGACCCCCTCTTACCGCTGCCAAAATTTCCCTTTTGCAGGCAAAGGCCGAGGAGGTCGAGCGGCAGGAGGCCGAACGCACCTTGAGGGAGCAGGCCGGGAGCAGAACCCTCTCCACACCCTCTTCATGCCTGTAGAGGGCGGTTTAGGGTTTCGGGTTTCGGGTTTATAAGGGTTTAGGGTTTAGGGTTATAAATGCATACTTATACGGCTTCAAAAGTTTCAGGGTTAGGCCCGTGTGCTGTTATAGTGTGCCCAGCCTCCTCCGTTACTTTGTGGCAGCTTAACCGAAGGGGGCTGTCCATCATCATGAGCATCAGCGGCTTGGGCGCAGGTACCCTAAACACGCTACATTTTCCTCTAAGTTCAATGAACTCTAACCTAAATTAACACCATTGTGGCGCCGTTTGACGGTTTCCTCGCATCAACAAGTAAGCCTGGGTGCGATTTTTGGACTGTTGTCGCCGCAGGTGGCCGCTTTTCGCGCGGACTGCAAGCGGTCACTGCAGCAGGCGCAGCATTGACCGACATCTTCGGGGGTGCAACAAACATGTGTGTCGGTGGAGTCCAAAAGCAGAGATATGCGCACCTACAAGCGCTAGCAGACCTTAGCTGAAGACAACCCGATTTATCACCTGACGGCTGTATCTTACACTATGTGTAAATCTGGTATGGTTTCTTTCATGAGCCCTTGCATGATTGCATGTGCCAAAAGAAGCTGGAAAACAGTTTAGAAACCTGTTGGGATTCATTCAATGCCCACTAAACGCCCCCCAAGCCCCTCCTACACCCGACTGCGCCGCAGACATGAAATGAAGACACACCCCAGGCTGAGCGATCCGAGTCCGAGTTGCGCCTCACAATGGGCACCCTGGAGGCTTCCAGTCTCAGGAATTCTTGGGGTTTAGGGTTTAGGGTTTAGGGTTTAGGGTTGAGGGTTTAGGGTTTAGGGGTCCTTGGACTTGAAAGCCTCTGGCTCCTATGCAGCACGATGTTCAAGAGTTGGTTCGGGTTCTAAGCTGGAAGCCCGCGTGTTTTTGAGGGTCGTGCAACTTCTGCATGGGCACTTCAGGATGTGGTACACAGGCCAAGGGTTTAGGGTTTAGGGTTTAGTGAGACAAATGCTTCTGCATGGGCACTTCAGGATGTGGTACACAGGCCTAGGGTTTAGGGTTTAGGGTTTAGGGTTTAGGGTGAACGAAGTAGTGCTAGATGATCCGATGCGCAGGATCGCACACGCGAGCTGCAGCTGCAGCAAGAGCTGGCAACCTGCTGAGACGTTGTTCGGGTTTTAGGGTTTTAGGGTTTTAGGGTTTTGGGGTTTTGGGGTTTTGGGGTTTTGGGGTTTTGGGGTTTTAGGGTTTTAGGGTTTTAGGGTTTTGGGGTTTCAGGGTTTTCGGGTTTTGGGGTTTTGGGGTTTTAGGGTTTGAGGGTTTGAGGGTTTGAGGGTTTAGGGCTGTTTGGGGGTGTTTGGGGTGCAGGTGTAGTGTTGTCGAATTTTTAATCAGTGCCTAACCAGAAGTTCAGGGACTACGGAAAGCAGAGTTGGCAGCAGAGAATTCGAAGAAAAGTGCCAAACTGGGGTTTAGGGTAATAGTGGACTCGAATTTCGATCCAAATAGTAGGATCCTTTATAATAAGGACCCCAAT